TGTGTTTCTATGTATGTGTGTGTGTGTGTGTGTCTATGAGGGCAGGCAGGGGTCATTTCTACTCTTTCCTGCATTCCCATCCTCCCTCTCTTTTCCTCTCACCTCTGTTGCTGTGTGCAGGCATATTACTGAAGCAAATTGGGGCCAATAGACTCTGTCACTGCATGACCCAGGGCTCACCGAACAGAAAGGAGCATGCCAGAAAGAGAGAAAAAGACAAATAAAGGGGATAAAAGGGGAGATAAAGGGAAGGAGAAAAAGACTGAGTTGGAAAAGGAGGAAACAAAGGCTGGAGCAGCACGAGCGCTAGCAAAGAGAGGGAGAAAGAGTGATGAGAGATGGACAGAGGGAGGGAAAGAAGCAGAGAAGGAGAGAGAGAAGTGACAACCTCAAATTAAATTCCCATCATGTCAGTGTAGAACAGAATTCAATAGTGTTTATTGGCAGCCCCCAGCCTCAGGGAAATTACATTCTGAAGCAGAGCATGGCATGAATGCACACCCCTGAACACACACTCATATACACAAGCGAGCGCACACATCTATTGTACACAACACGGTGCATGTCCTCGGACCCAAAAAAAGAAAAGCCCTCTAGCTGATGTGAGCATGCAGACAAGCGATTTATCCCCTGAGGTCCATGTGCCATTTGCGCAGTGCATGTGTATGTGTATTTGTCCGTCCACGTGCTATTTAGGCACCTTTTTATGTGTATTTGTCCGTCCACGTGCTATTTAGGCACCTTTTTATGTGTATTTGTCTGGAACTTCCTGTTCTTCACATGCATGATTTTGCCAGTGTACAAAAGTTGTGCCTTTTTAGATGCTCAATTTTTTGTCTGTTGGCCCCAATTGCCGCTTTCTCTGCAGTTAAACTCTAGACTATTTGCCATTACAGTACATACGCAGGTTTTCATTATAGTGGCTGTATTAAATGTGTCCCCAGGCTCAAGTTGCCATGAGCACAGGGCTCTGGTGCCTTTGTCCAACCTCCAGCAGCAGCAGCAAAGGCAGCGTACTTTAATGGGAAGCCGTTTAACAGTTTTATGCAGAGCACATGTAGAGGCTATTACTGCTGATGTCTCTGGGATGCAGATTTGCTCTAAATGGCTAACAATCTGCCATTCTTTTAACCCCCTCCCTCGACTCCTCTTGCTCTCCATCTCTGCCCCCTAACCCTTTATGTCTCTGTCTGTTTATGCCTCTATCTTGACTCTCTCTCTCATTTCTCTGCCTCAATCCCTCCGACTCTCACTCATTCTCTTCTTCTCCCTTTCTCCAGGAGCGTGCAGAGAGGGCTTTGGGCTGCTCAGTGGAGGATCTGAAGGCTCTTTTCTACTGCGAGCTGTGTCACAAGCAGTACCTCAGACATCAGGAGTTTGACAACCACATCAATTCCTACGACCATGCACACAAACAGGTACATGGGATGCGGCACTACTACTGCTATACACACACACACACTCATACACACACACACACACACACACACAAACTACGCAACAGCACACCAACAGACACACAAGCTGACATTTTTATGATCTCTTGTTATAGAATTTGGGTGTGTTAGCATTATTCGTGTTGATGGAAAGTTCCTTTACATTTCCATGTCAATCTACCCATTGGGTACAGTTTCACAGCAGGTAACAGTAGGAGTGTGACAACCGCATCATCCCTTACAAGAACACACACAGTGATAGAACACCCCAACTCGAGGCAGATACACACACAAACACATACAGTATATACACACAGACAGCACTACATTTATACTTTAGATTTCCATTTGAACAGGCTTATATCTTATATATGAAAAGATAAGAAACTTTATTGATCCCACGCAGGGAAATATAGTAAGTAACAGCAGCTTTAAAAAAATATGAGAACTATATTAACATGCAGTATTACAGCATGAAATAAAAATAGAGGTACTATTTTTACCATAGTAAGTAAGAGTATTAACCCTTGTATTTTGTTGACCTTTGATTTTGTTTTGGGGTCCCATAGACTGAGCTGCTGTATGTGTGAGACAGATCATTGCAGTTAAACCTTTTTTTTTCTTTGTTCTAACATTAAAAAAACCTAATTTAGATTTAGACTATATAATTAAAAATGGACGTAGTCTCTGTGACGTCACCCGTAGGTTTCTGAAGAGCTGTGAATCTCAGTGTCGTCAGCCCTGGCACACACATTTGATGAACGAAATAAAATACAGAAATTACCAAAAAGTATTGCCATTACTACAAATATGGAAATATTTAATGTTTAAAATCAAAGTAGACTTATCTGGGATTTGGGAGGAATACTGCCATGTAGAAAGTACTATCAACCCTAATCACAGATATAGAGCACATGAAAACCTATTGTATTTTACCATGTTTCATTTTTGGGTTCTCGGGGACCTCAGGAAAAGTCAGAAAGTATGAAGGTGATAAAGTGATATTATGTGTGTGTTTGAGCTGTTAAAGAGGTTCAAGGGCTCCAGGACCCCAAACAGAACATTAGGGATTAATACTGCATCAGAGCAAAGTGAGCCAGTAGTTGAACCATGTAAATAACTAGGTTACAATAGATATACAAAAATACAATTTAACCGAAAATAAAAAAGTAACCTAAGCAACCTGAAAAACAAAGGAAAATATGCACATAGCTTTACTTGGTCTACAAATCCCCAATTTAAAATAATAGAAAATTATTTTTTCTTAAGTTTAAAATTTAGAGCAGTTGATTTGTATGTATCTGGTGCATAGGCATGCTGCTACAAAATTCACTTTATTCTTCAATTTGTACTTCCCTCAAAAGAAAAATAAATATTCTGAACCAAATAAAACATGTAGCTATTAGTCACAGCTCAAGTATGATTCTATTATTCCGGTTTGGACAAGATGAGGCCAATGGACCATTAGGAAAAGGCCCGGCAGCAGGTTTTCTCCTGCATTCTGCTTTCACATCCATTTTCATACGCAACCTCCACTCTGGACTAACAAGCTGAAGGTTCTGCTGATAGCACATTCTCCTGCAGCGATCTGTTGTCATGCCAAGACATACACTCACATACAAAAACATACAGACGTGCACTTACCCGGACACACACTGCAGGACGTGCAAACACAGGCAATCTCTGAACCAAGCCAAGCCGCTACCCACTTCTAAACGCCCACACTGTGCAACATGAAATAAACATTCAATAAGACTGTTCCTCCACTGTCATTGTTCTTTGAAAATGAATTGAAGCAACTGCAGGCCAATGTTAATGCTTTGTTTTAGCCAGCGGCAGGCACATGAAATGAGCTGCATGAGGCACTGAGCTGACAGTAGCCACTGGCACTGTAAGAACACACACACACACACGCATACAGGCATGCATGCATTCTTTGCCTACCGAGCAGACAACAGATGAAATTCTAGCTGAAGACAGCTTCCCTGCAGGAGTATTGGCTTTGGAGAATGGAAGCTGATTGCGTTTGCTCTGTCTCCTTTCCTTGTCATCGATTCAGGGATAAACATGTCTGAATACAGTGCTTTATCAGCATTTACTGCTGATTACAGAAATGGCTCATTACAACAGAATTACACCCCGCTTTTAAATAAAAGAGCAATCAGCTCATTAGCATGGCCCCTCACATGCTACCTAAGAATACATCATCCCTCATTCTAAGGCCCTGGTGGATATGAATCAACTCTGACTCATCCGTAGTTGCCTCAGCCTGAGCACTCCTTAACACATCTAAAGGAATATTGATCGAGGCTTTGACAGACGGATTGAGCTTCACAGCACATAGCTAGACTGGCATGTTGGAGAGCTGGAGTAATTTCACTTCCCAGTGTTGGGGACATGACATCATCTTTGAAGACAAAAGTATCCGCTTTAAAGTGGGAAAACGGAAATATCTCTGCCCTGTGTGCTCAGTGGAAATGGTTCTGTGCGCAATATTTTTGTTTGGCTCTAAATATAGCTACAGGTTTGCCTGCAGTGGGACCTGTTTTTAAGAGAGAACAATAACCTGGCAGAGTACAAATGCTAGAGGAAGGAGTAAGAATTCATCTTCATATATTCCATCTATTATAGACTGCTCTACCTCTCTCTCTCTCTCTTTCTCTCATAGTCATTGCCATGGACAGCTACAGTACAGCGACTCTGATCTTTTCCTCCTCCCTTCTTCCTCCTCTTTCCTGGCTCTGTCCGCAGTAGTTCATTATGTATGCCTCTCTGCTTGAACATGATTAATATTTCCCATAGAATGAGTTTGGCATCAAAGCCTCTAAAAGCTCCTTACCGCACACTAGCAAACACACACACACACACACACATATATATATATATCACACATATATATGATCACACACATCTACAATGCACAAACACCTATACTGTATAAAGTGTATGTTTAAGATACAAACCCACAAGTGCTGCTCCTTTGGCACATACTTAATGCTGTCTTTAGTGAGCTGACAGTGGGATGTTAAGCATCGAGTGATAATGTAAAAAGACAGCCGATTGTGTAAGACTCAGCAGAGATTAACCTGACGACTGTCAGCTCCAGCATAAGATCTGGGTGTGAAAGAGAGTGAGTGTATAAATAAATCTGATGTCTGAGGGGCTAATCTGATGTGTGCATGTGTGCGTGTGTGTGTGATACATACTGTATGGGTGGATAATAGCGTAACATAATCTAAAAGTGAGAGTGGTGTAATCCTGTTGCAATTTATACTGCCGGATAAGTTACGAATATATAAGATAAACAACAAATCCTGAATTTATAAACCATGGGTGGATTGCACACGGAGGTAGCTAAAATATACTGGGAAGTGAGAGAGGATAAGACGGGAGATAGGAGGGATAGTGCATGATACTGCAGCTATTCCCAAGGTCCTCAGTCCATCCTTAGCCCTCAGACACACACACACAGACAAAAAGAAACACACCAGAATGCACACATACACACACACCTGCCAAGCATGGATAAAGGAGGGATTAAAGTATGTCAGAAAAGGAAACCGGAGAGAGAGGCATGAATCATTGTTTCCCTGAGAGGACTGGTGTACCTATGGCTATGGACACATAGTTTTGCACAAATACACACAAGCACACTCACATAAAACACACACACACAAAACGGAGATAATTATTTTATTTTTTTGTGCACTGTGAAGACCCACCGGTTTGATCAAAATAAAATTACTCTTACTATGGTGTACACACACACACACACACACACACACACACACACACACACACAGCACATACAATGGTCAAGCATTTTCCCAGGTGAAATCTCTGGCCTTTATGGTGACCCACATGGTTATTTTGCCAGAGATAAGTGGCCATGCCATTGTGTTAGGTGACGTGTAATTTCAGCATCAGTAAATCAATGCCTTTGGCTCAAAAGCAGATGTCATTGGATCAAACGTTTTTCCAAACTAAGCTGTGATGACTGACGAAGGCTTGAACATTTTAGAAATTTCAGTGGTAAGAGCATCATCATTAATCACTCATGTCACTCATCTTACTGTGCAATTCACCATTTGGGATGTGTTTGCTCTCAAGCTGTGTGTTGGAAGAAAGACTCTTTCTTCCAGGCTGAATGGAGTTAATTGGACATAAGCTTTGGTGGAGAACATCTGCAAACGCTGCTGACTGATGTGCATGGTTTGAAAGACAGCTGCCTGCAGAGAGCTTCCTAAAACTAATCTCTCCCTCTCTCTTCTTTCCTCTTTGTCCCACTCTTGTGCCTCTCTACTTTCTCGCTATCTCCTGCCCTCCACATACTTCTCCTGTCTCTCCCTCTATCCCCCTTAATTTTCATCTCCTGCAGAGGCTGAAGGAACTCAAGCACAGGGAGTTTGCCCGCAACGTGGCCTCAAAATCATGGAAGGACCAGCGCAAACAGGAGAAGGCTCTAAGACGCCTGCACCAGCTCGCACAGCTGCAACAGGATACTCAGCGGTGAGTAGGAGGAGTTTTGTGTGTGTTTGTGGCAGTGTGTGTGTGTGTGTGTGTGTGTGTGTGTGTGTGTGCGTAATGAGACCAGGGGCAGGGTTAGAGTGCATCCAGTCAATGTTTTTTAGATGTGATGGATGCATCCACAGATGTGAGTGCATTCAGTTGTCCTAGATAGGCCACAGGTGAAGTAAATATCACATGCAGACACATTCTTACTGACACTTTGAGAGTAGATGATTTGTAGAAGGAGATGGTGTTTTACAGAAGAATGTATAGTTGCAAAAGTATATTTTTTTTAAAGTAGTAAATAAAGTGAGTGATTAAACTTGCCTCCAGGTTTGTACAATCAAAACAACCGATAAAAAAACAATACATCACATAATAATCAACTTGATTGCACCTATTCCCTGTGCAATTAAATGTGTTTTCCTATAATCAGGCGATGATATGTGAACAGCATTACTATGACTACCAATATCATGCCTCGGTTTTTTTCTGTTGTTTGTCTATTTATGTCTTTCTTTCTGTGGTTCTTTATTCTATCTATCGATCTATCAATCTATCAATCTATCAATCTATCTATGCTATTCAGGACTTTTTGTGATGGGATTAGCTTCGCTTTTAAATTAAATAGATAGATAGATAGATTTTAAATACATTTAATTAAAATAAGCCACGCTTAAGTGAAGTCAACTTAAATCAACAACAAAAAAACAAACAAGAATATTCATATTACTTTCTGTTGCAGAGTCCCAGGAAGGACTTATGGACTAAGGAGTGCAGTCAGGGCTGTGAGTCAGCAGCAAGATAGAGACATTGACCGAAGAGACCATAGCCCAGAAGACAAACCTGAATCCTTCAACCACACCCAGAGACCCCCTCCTACGCAACCCAGGACAGCGCCTCTCAGCCACTTGCCAGAAGATCCATATCAATCTCCTTCCCAAATGCCGTTGGCCACTGGTCTGGCAGAGTCCTCACTAATCACACATCCTGCATCCAATACAGGCCCTCCTGGAGAGAACCCCGAATCTTGCCTGGGCTTTTATCCCCAGCTGCCTCTCCCTGGGCAGGTGAGAGTAGGAGGCAGGCTTGGGGTGTCCTTCTGCTTCTCACGCAGGGGGCCCAGGCTTGAGCCTTCTGCCTCCGTCTTCTCTGACCTGGAGGAAGAGGAGAGAGAGAAGAGAGAACAAATGAAAGAAAGGATAAAGGGAATAATGGAAGATATTGACAGGGAAATTGGGGAAGTAGAGGAGAGGAAACACAGTGAGAGTGAAAAGCCCAGCCCTGACAGCGTTGGACCAAGTGACATGGTGTCAATCCCCAGAGAGGATGCCAGAGAAGAGGAGGAGATTGAAAAAAGAGACACAGTGGAAGAACACTCACCTATTCCCACAGCAGCACCTGATAATCTGAGCCACAATTCACTGTTTTTGCCATCACAAAATAAGGTGACCATATGGGGCACAGCACTAGAAGGGGCCCATATGGACATTGAACATACAGATAGTGAGACAGAGAGAAAGCAAATAACAGAGGGAGGGAGGGAGGAAAGTCAGTATATGCGTGTGCTAGGGAAAGATGGCTCTACCTGTCTGAGATGGCCTGTCAGTTTACTTAAGTTCACCAAGTCTCAGCCACACATCTACTATAGCTGCAACCCACTCTGCTTGAACCCCCAACGACCAGAGCAACTGACAGAGCATCTGCAGGAGTCACAACAAAATCAGTCGTGTGCCCCTTCCGATGAATCAACTCCACGTGTGCCAGCTATTCTTACACCAGACGCTCATACTTGTTTACAAAGACAGACAAGAGAAGAGCTGAGAGCACACAGACAGGGAAAAGCTGAGGAGAATTTCAAGGCAGAGCAACATATCGATGTGGAGACAGAAGAACACCTGTTCCTAAAGAACAAAAACCTTTCATCATCAGAAACAAGACCAGAAAGAGGAGGGTGCACGATAAGTATGGAGAATTGTGTGAGGGCAGTCTGCCATCCATTTGACCCTGCTCATAGTGACAGCTCTGATACAAACTCCCAGAATCCTCTGGGAGGCAGATTAGGGGGTGCGAGAGGGATCAGGGAGAGAGCCATCACAGCCCTGAGCTGTAAATCAGAGTCTGTCATCCAGGCTGGCACACAGGGGATGTGCATCAGCCCGTCCAGGTGTGAGTGTGGGAGTGAGACAATGTGCAAGTGTGCCAGCGCTCCACAGCCGTACGTGGGTGTCTCAGAAGTGTCACGCAAAAAGAGGAAAGCCAGCACAAAGAAACACAAGCTGGGAAAGAGGAAGAGGGGCGAGAAGGAAAAAGCTTCAAACAAGCGCCAATCAGTAAGGTGCAAAGTGAGGAGTGTTGTCTCTACAGTCTTCACTGGCAGAGAGAGGAGAGAAGAAACTGGAGGGAGCTGTGGGAAGAAAAGGAGGCAAGGGGAGACAGGGGAGACGAGGAGGAGGAGGAGGGTGCAGAGAGCAGGGAGCAGCTGTCTCCTGGGGAGATGTGAGGCTGAGCCAGTATCTGTCTCTGTCAGGAAGAGAAGGCCTCACAGGAGCCACAGCACTGAATCCCAGTCACAGCCAGACAGAGAGCAGGCAGAGCAAGAGCACTGCAGTGCCTACTCCCAGCTCACCAGACACACAGCAGACAGAGACACCAAGGGGGAGGGAAAGCGAGACGGAGATGCAGTGACTTTTCCCTGGCGATCTCACTTCTCCTTATACCCCTTCTCACCAGGATGTAACTCAAAGCTGTTTTGGGAAAGGGGTCACCATAGCAACCCCAGGAGTTTCATTGACTGCTGTTACCCTGACAACAGCTGTGGTTGCAGCCCGGCGAGTAAGAGAAAACTCCTCCACAGGGACAGGAAATTCATTCATAGTAAGAGGAAGAGTTTGAGGCATCGTGAAGTCTGGGAGGAGAAAGAGAGGGGCAGGAAAGTGGGAGGGCGTTCGGGTTGCAGAGACAGAGGCCTGATTTCAGATACAGAACAGTGGGAGTGGATGAGAGGGAGCTGTCCTGGAGGTAGCGTGGAGGGCAGGCCGAGGCCTGGGTGGAAATCGAGAAACAAAGCAGTGGAGTGGGATCGGTTGGCAAGGTGTAGCCCCAGTCCTAGCAGCTGGGGCAGGAGAAGCAGACATCTTAGCACAGAAGATATAGACTGGGATAGGTGCAGCATGGACAGATGGACATGGGGCAGCAGCGACAGCTGGGAAGACAGGGGGTCACACAGATCTGCGTCAGGCTCCAGGACAGCAGCAGACAGCAGAGACAGCCCAGGCTGTGTGTGGAAATTTGCAGGAACCAGACACTCGAGCTCGAGACACTTCTCCAGCCCTGAGTGGTGGACAAGTAGGCAGACATACAGCCCCCAGAGTGTGATCAACACACGGGCCAGCAGATGTCACAGCCCGCGCTCCTGCAGCCCTTGCAGCACCACCAGCATGTCCGAGTTAAGCTGGGAGTGGAGCAGGAGCAGTACCTGCTCAGGAGTCACTGTGGATGGACTGACAGTTAGCTCCTGCAGGACGTCCTCAGGAGCTCCAGGACTTTCATCTGAGGCCCTTCAGGATGCAAAGAAGCAGAGCAGCCCCATGTCCACTCCACCGGGTCTTACCTCTAGCTCCTTTTCTCATTCTTCGCCTCACAGATCCTCTTTTGCTCCCACTGTCCCAGGAGTCAATGTGCACAATTGTGACACAAATCCTTGTCAGCTAAAGGAGCCAAATTCAAAGTCTGACCTTGGCCATGGGCCCTCTGCCCCTGTCACAACAAGTAGGTCAAGTGCACCTCCAGGACTATCCCCCAGTAAGTCTCTGCCTCCGAAACCAGCCAGGATGTTGCTCCCTCTCATAGGGAAACTACCTGCTTTTCAGAGAAAGGCTAGGAGGAAAAAAGGGCTGCTGGAGAAGAGTCAGGAGAAGGAAGGAGAAGAGGAAGAGGAAGCTAAGGGCAGTGGAGGGCATCCTGGAGGAGTCGTCAACAGTCATATGGCTGAGTCAAACCCCAGCACCTTGCCAAATCTCTGCCTGTCACAGATTAGGACAGATGACAAACAGACAGGTGGGAAGACAGCTTCACCAATCAGCTTTACTGCTGAGGAGATGGGCAAATATCGTCTCCTGCAAGAGCAGGCGAGAGAGCACATGCAGAAAGTCCTGGAACAGACGCACGAGAGAGCAGATACACACATAGAGACAAACTACACACACACAGCACGGACAGACAACTGTGGTACTTCAAAGGAACGATACACACCTGCACCCTTGCACAACCCTTCACAGCCTCAAACCCAGTCAATTCACACAGACACGATGCAAACGCAAGCACAGCACACCCTCCAGGTCAGTCTCCCACTTCCACATGTGACCCCCCAAGAGAACTTTACTCGACCCATGGCTTTGGGAGTCCCTAACCTCACCCCCCTTCCACCATCTCCCCCTCTCTCCAGCCTCCATCATATCATTTTACAACACACAGCCCTCTCCATGCCACCCTCATCCTCATCCTCTTCCACCTCATCCCCCTCTCCTGCCATCCACCCACACCCGGCTCAGCTAACTCATCCCCTGCCCCCTCTCCATCCATCCCTCTCTCATCATCTTCACCTCTCTCCCTTCTCCATATCTTCCCTGTTTCCCTCCATCCTGTTGTCCCATCATCCCATCCCTCTCCTGCCCCAGTCCCACGCTTTTCACGCGACCCCACTTGCCCCGCTCTCCCCTGTAGCCCTGCAACCCTTTAACCCACAGCCTTTCATGGACAGAGCATGGCCAGTGAGGTTTCAACAGAAGGCATTGTGATTTTTACAGTAGCTGCCATGTTTATTAATCTTCCTTGGCAACACAGACTAGTGAGGAAGAGAGACAGAGAGAGAAAGAGAGAGAGAGGGAATTTTTGGTTTGGATAAAAGCCTGTTATTTGAAATGGGGATGTGTCAGTGCTTTTACTAGCATCAACTCCAATTCTTACTCACATATGCCCTCACATGCACACACGCATGCATACACACAAACAGCCCAACTATATTGAGTGTTTTCAAATGAAAAAATCTTTCTCCATCTAGCCTCTGCTGTGTAGCAGACAGTGAGAAAACAGACTTTGATCCTTTGCTTTTTCCATCATTCCTCATTCAGACACAGAATAAAGGGAAAGGTGCACCTGCTATTCAAAGACAAGCTGGGCTTGTGTCATCCTCTCTCTTTCCTTCTGAACCACAGACAGACCAGCTGCCTTTTGAAGTATCCTTCATGCCAGGGACAGAGGGGCAAGAGAGAGTGATAATACTCTCCCCTTATCTCCATTTCATACAGGCTATCTGAGTTAGAGTGTGACTTTCAACAAACATAAATAATGTTCTAGGGACCGGGGGGCATAACAGAGCAATTTTAACCTTGGTGTATACTGTATTCATGTGTGTAAGATAGGTAATTCTGGACTGACATACACACACAGAAGGAAGGACAACAACTAATTTCCATATCTGAAACATGTAAAGTCCTGTTTTGTCTCTATAGTGTAAATATTCTGACAGTGAGTGATAATATTAGAATCATGGGAAACAATAAAATAAAAGGTGAATTTAACCTTGACCAGTAGTACAATACTTATTCCGCACTCAATGGCTTCAGTGATACAAACACTTCAACAACTTTTCATATCCATGTGCCATGTGTGACACAAGATTTTTTTTTTTCACACAGCATCTAACAAATAAGTTGTCGAGACAGCAATGAATGACTCAAATCTGTTACATTAAAACTTGGGTGAAAATAAACAGGCTTTAATGCTTTTTTCTTATTCTGTCTGATTCATGTTGATCGTGCAACATGTTGCAACACATTCCACATAAAAGATTAATACTGTGTGGTTTACCACTTCTCAAAGTGTGGCCCAGAATTCCTAAGAGTCTATGGAAGAGATTATGGATGGTTCCAAGCCTCTCTTGTTCTCGACCCCCTTATATGAAGCAATGTCTGCTTATGACCACTTGTCACACGGTGCATGTTGTGAGCATGTCAAAGGAATTTTCCCTTATCAGGCTGTTTTATATGACTACGTTTTAGATGTCAGAGGAGGTAAAACTACACAGTATTTCACTAAAAAAGCAAAGATTGCAAAAAACTAAACATCATTTTATGTAGCAGAATTCTCCTATTTCCTACACATCTCACAACCCTGCATCTCAAGATGAATCTCCCCAGTTTGAGAGTTTGAAGAAATAGTAATGGTGACATTTGATAGTGTAGCAATTTATTTAATAAAAAGAAGGGTCAGTGTGAAGGTGTTTTCATTGTGTCAGTCACAGAGTTGAATGCTGCCCTTTACAAAACACCATATCTTGTTCTAAAAGTGTTCTACTAGTCCTTTTTTGTTGCCAAACAGATAAATCTTTTTGTACAAAGAAGCACTTTTCTTTGACCACATTTAATCATAACGTCCAGTTTGACCTTTGGTTCACTGTACTGGGGATGCCCAAAGCAAAAAATATCCAGTTCTAAGACATCTGCACCAGAAAATCTTGAAGTGCATGTTGTGCTTTAATATCATACTTGTAAAGGTAAAAAAAAAAAGTGAAACCTATTTGCATCATTAATGAAACATCGATGAGCTTCTTTCTTGCATGTCTTGTCAAAGGTTATGGTGGTTAGTAACTGTTGCTATGCATCCATGCTTGGTGATTGGTGAAGGCGCAGATGTATTAAAGCTGCTTGCCAAACAGTTGATCACTGCAGCGGCCGGCACTCGGGGAGCAGAACACAGAAGAGAACAGACCGGCATCCAGATGGTCTATGGACTTGGACTACCCAGAGTGCTTTGAGAGATTGGATTGATTTGCCCTCCATGATATCAGTGAACACAGCCCAGCACACAGGGGGGGGCTACGGCAAGGGGTGACATAAATACAGACACAAAAACAAGATACAAAATGTACACTACCAGTCCTGAGGTGTTGGATAGAAATATAAGTCAACCCCTGCAGAGATTCAGTAATTAGAGCACAATTCCTCTTTCTCCTCCTCATGACCCCTGAGCTTGTATGTGTGTGTGTGTGTGGTGTGTGTGTGTGTGTGTGTGTCGTGTGTGTGTGTGTGTGTGTGTGTGTGTGTTAGGGGATGTGTGTAAGTGTGAGTTTGTGAGAAACAGACAGAGAATCCCTATCTCTCTCCACAGGACGGGAGATCAAACAGACTGTGTGAAATATAGAGCAGCAATAATTAGCAGCTGTTACAGCATCAAACCTCTCTATCTCTACCTCTCCCGCTCTCTGACACACACACACACACACACAACACACACACACACACACACACACCACACACACACACACACACACAACTGCTCTGTTCTTATCCCAGAGTTTAATTTAGCGATACTTAAATGTGCTGCAACTTCTCAGGACTCCAATACTGATAATCGAGGAGATGATACAACATCAACCCGTTCCTGTTTTTTCTCCATCTGCTCTCCAGTTCAGAATTTTTAAATTCACTCACACAGCCTAAAGGGGAAAACAGCCACATGCACCAGCAAAAAGCTTAAAAGCATTTACCAGACTTGAACAAAAACCCCCACAAAGAATCTTTTTTTAAAGGCAAATTTACCCATGAATATGGAGTGCTTGGGACCTTTACTTTATTATAAAGCAAAATTGTAAGTCATACACACACAGAGTCATCCACACAGGGGTCATGTGGAAATTAGTAATCACAATATCACTGTACTTTCTGTCAGTGACTGATTAAATCATTACCTAAGCCCTGAGATTCTCCCCCTGGTGTGTTCATGTTTTGCTGTTGTGTGTGCGCACGCAGGAATGTGAGTTGATTTATGATCGAGAAGAAGCGGTTTCCTCAGTCAATCGCTCCTGTGAATTAATGAGGTATAAAAACTAAAGCTGGCACTCAGTCAAATACCCCAGCAGTCACAGAATGGTCTCTGCTGGGGCAAGATCACCTCTATTGGCACCACATTTGATTGTTAGATTGTGGATATAGATTGCATTGAACATAAAAGAGCACCTCACGGCTACTGAAGCGATCCATCGACCCAAATTGCAATGCTGTATAAATGAGACACTTCCCATCTCTTGCTCTCTCCCTTTCTTTTCTTTTTTGTGGTCTCGCCTCTTACCCTTCTCTTTGATTCAACCAGGTCAGTGGGGCTGCGTTCAGCTCCCCCGGCTGTTCTCTGACTGTGCCGAACAAAAAGCAACCATTACACTTCGTCCTCTCAATTCCCCTCATTCAGAGTCTACATCTTTCACATGTTCGAATGCTGTTGTAGATCACAGACTTTCACAGCACAATGTGCTTTGCAGGATTCTAACACAGAGAAAGCCCTTCCCATACCTTTTCTCTGGCAGTGACATTCATTAAAAAGTTTTCTTGAGTCGTGTGACATACAGTACCGGGTTGTTCCACTCCACTTTACATCTTTTTACTGAATCTCTGTGCCTCTTTGGAATAGTAGTTATACTAATAGCATGGATAACATTTAAATTATTGTACTGATCCACCAAATGACATTCAAACATTATAAGTCAAAATAACATTGAAAAGGACTGAGCTGCTTAAGACTAGAATGCACTAAAAACAGGTAAGGTGTCCTCTAAGTCATTACATTTGATCATATAGAATTCTACATGTTTGATGATTTGACACTTGTGTGTCACTTTGTTACCTTTTGTGAGCTACTGAACTCCCATAAAGGAACAGTTCAAAGAGTAATCTGTCAAGAGACACTGCTGTTGCTGCAGGTGCAATATATGAAAAGATAAGTGGCTTCAAGCTGTTTAGAGCTTTTACAAATATTACTGTATACATTTCTGAACCAGAAAAGCATTTTTTATCCTATGAAACACCAGTTGTTGTATTATTTTATTCTTTACTGTGCGCTAGTCTCTTGTTGAGGAGGGACTTGTTTGTGTAGGACTTGTATTATGTAGAAATAACTGTGAATTCTGTTGTACGATGGATTTAAGGCTTGGAGGAGGTAGTGGGCTCAGTGATACTCTTAAACTTGGCACAGTCGCCCAAGGACATGACACTGTCAGCACAATGCTTACACACTCCTGCGCACACACGCACACACACACACACAGGTGTAATAGGGTATAATTTAGGAGGCAGTAATAGTGAGATGTGATGCTCTGTTGTAAGACAGCATGGCTAATTCCCCGGTTATGTTATCTCTGAGAGACAGATGTTCCCACCAAAGATTACTATGCACACACACAAAACAAAAACAACACACACATAAACTGTGTGCATGGAGAGGTGCATGAACACATTCAATCCTCAGACAATAGAAGCAGCAGGATGGTCTAAAATAGCCTTATTGACCAAAAACACAGATCAATGATGAAGACGACTTCTCTGAGAGTTAATTATGAGATGTAATGAGTTTCTGCAGAATACAATAAAGAGAAAAACGACAGCTCTCACAGAAACTTTTCCTCGAAAAATATTTCTTTTAAAACAATAAAATGAATCATATAAAGACTGTTGACCTCTTGCCATATTGATCGGAGGAAAAACACACATTTTTCCAATAAGACCACTCTAAGACAAACCATATCACCTTTTAATGATCATATTAAACCCCACAAAGCTATGAGTATTAACCATTTGTGTCAATCCATCAGCTGCAAAGCTTTTCCCAGGTCAGACACACTGCATCCATTTCCCAGGAAATCCATCCTACACAGGAAATGGCTTCACTGCAGAGGATAGAGGCCAGTTGATTCATGGCGTCTCACAGTGACTGTCAGGTAAACCCTTGGGTCAGATAACTATCACTCTCATTATATTGTTAAATCGCAATTTGAATGCACGGCCACAGCATAAAGGAAGTGATACACATGAGTGACATGCAATTCCTTTCTGTCAATCCTCAGGTCAGGAGAGTCGATTTTGTCCTTGGTCTTCTTTGTCCTGCCTGTCTGAATTTCTGTCACTTACACTAGTATCATAGAATATCCATAAAACCTCTCCTGCACCCAAACACAGTGTCTATGATTCAAAAACATCCAAATAGTGGCTTTGAGAGGTTAAAAGAATTGCTTGTACACCTTGAAGCTAATTTGAGTGCTTGAGCGTGACTTCAAGAGGACAATTTACACAAATGAACCTGTGAATGTGTGTATATAAACAGCAGAACTGCCTCTCAAACTCCTTTCTCCTCTGAGCCCTGATCTCCCTCCTCCTGTTTCCGTTTAACTGGTTTCAGCTTTAAGTCTCCAGATTCTGATAATTTCCCCCTTAATCCCTTCAGAGGAGCACCCTGCTTAACTCTCTAATTAAGTCAACGATACACACATACACCAACACAGGATAAACAGCACATGCACACAGCTTGTAGCATTCAGCTATCTGATGCACGGACAATTGGTGGTTGCTGTGTTGAAGTGTGTGTGTGTGTGTGTGTGTGTGTGTGTGTGTGTGTGTGTGCGCATGGTGACTAAGTGTTTGTGTGTCTGTATTTCGATGATTAAGTCCCAATCAGGATGTTGTTATGACGACACATGCATTTTTAAGCTGTTAATCCAGGATTATTCTCCCCTCCGCTCATCTCATTACCGTCGATTATTAAAAAACACATACAGGCACACGTGCACACAAATACTAATTATGGGTTGGTTTCCCTGGAGACTGAATACATGCTGCTAGGGTCTCCAAAGATAGCTAGACATACAGGTAAAAACAAACAAATGAATACACCTCAGGCGTATACATATTTGTTAATTCACGGGTATTTGAAACACAAAAAAGATCAAACCTTGTAGATCTGGGGTGTGGCTATATATTTTTACCACTGTGATTATTTCAGTGCTTTGGCCTCTCAGAGAGCCATTTTGGCCTTTCAGAGAACAATTTTCAGCATAGAGTGGAAAAGAATGCGAGTAAACAGCGAGTGTCCTTTCCCGGTGATTGAATGTGTGTCCTTGTGTAGAAACTGCACTCCCCTCTCTCAGCAAGGGAAAATATTCCTGTGGTGCTGAGGTTGATGTACAGGTGAGAGAATAGCCAAGGATTTTGAGATCACCTGAGGCTTTGTGTCCACTATGACCCAGTCACACTAGGTCAGCTCAGAATAACCAGAAAGGGCTGACCGCTGATGTGCACTCACCCCTGGAGTCATTAATCACACAGTACTGCAGATGAGCCACACGGACACATGTGGTAACACACGCACACAAATGTAGAAACACACATACACACTAGAGCCCATTTTAATTATAAACACTAGATGCTAGATGACAGCATTGCTCCAGGTAGTCAGTCCTCAAGGCCTGTACTCCTGGTTCATTATCATACACTAAACATCAGAGACATGAATATTTCTGAGCAAAGCCCAGTCCACAAATAACAACACATCATATCACATTAAGCTATCAATATCTGCAGCATATATACACGCACACATACGCACACAGAATCATGTCGGTAACGTTTCTCCTGAGCTTTATTTTACGCACTTTAAACACAAACACACACAATCAGATGATGGTATCTGAACCCCTGTATTCCCGAACAGGCCTCTCAGCTTGCAGCTGGGTCACTATCGGGAGCAGGATCTCAGATAACGTTCCCATTTACCAGTTATGAAATTCTTCAAAGGGGCCGCGCAGCAGTGAATGCCTGTGGTGTGTTGTGTTTGTTAACAGGCATAGGGCATGGAGAAATACTCGGTGGTGGATGTGTAGAACAGCATGGATGTCACAGTCCAACTATTAAAGGCATCTGAAGAAAATGTCAGTTTATGGGGGGGAAAAAGATATATCAGGGCTTAAGAAAGTCACTAGTGTTCTGTGTGATTTATTTTGCAGGTGAATACAAAGATAATGTATAAACTGAGTTTTAAAACCCTATTATGTTGAGGCAAAAATGAAGAAGCAAAAGCGAGAGACACATCAATAGACTGCATGTGTGTTTGTGTGTAAGATTTCAAGATATTAGGTATGTGTATCCAATACTGCCACAATGTACGTTTTTTTTTATTTTCAGTCCGACACCTCTGGCCTGAAGCAGTAGTTTGTCATGCTGTGAATGTTACATTTTTAGTTTTTTTTTGTTGCTGGTTACAAAAAAAAAAATGTTCAAATGTCTTTTTTTGTATACAAAAAATTGCTGCATGTGTAGCCGTCTACCACTCAAAACTGTGCCTCTTCACCTTGCTGCACCTCAGTTGTAAAAAATGAAAAGCATTGGTCCATTATTGTGCCATGCCATTACCATAACCCATGCCATTACACTACATAACCCTGTCTGAGAATTTTAAAAGGCTGCAATGTGAAAACTAGTCAAAAAAAAAAAAGAAGTCAGAGTTTCCCGTTTCTCCTTTCTGAAAGGCTTTGTGCTAGACACTTTGAACAGTCAAGCAGAGAGTGAAACGCATGCTGCATAAGTTAATGTCAAATTCTCTCTATTGTGTCTTGTCTTATTGAATGTAATGAGTTAACAAAAAAGGGGGGAAATACAAAGCCGGAGAATAAACTGAATAGCATAAAAATTCAAGAATTGCACATGAACTTGGAATATTAGAACCATTACATGTAAAGATAGCATCAACTGTTTGTTGGCAGACACAGTTTTCTAATAATCCTTACACCCCAATGAGATATTTCACTTTACTGCAGTCAGAGAGGGAAACACTGCTGCTACTGCTGTTATTGCTGTTGTTGTTGTATAGAGAAAGGAGCAGAAGCCATTAATGTGCAGCCTTTGTGTGTTTGTGCGTGGACGCATGTGCCATATACATTTGCTTATAGAAACCCATGCGTGGGTGTGTATAAGCAGTTTCAAATTCCAAAATTCAGCAGTTCAAAGGTGTTTAGCCTTTGCTGCTGGTGAAAAGTAAAGCAACATCTGTCAAAGAGATTAGGGGAAGCATAACTCAAGTATGCACTTATTTCACCAAAAGCATTAAACAACTGACTGAAAGAGATTGAGTAGACTGCAGCTTTTAATGCCACTCATTGTGCATCTCACTTGAATTAAAATTTCATCTTCGATAAATGGGTATGAAAGGATAACCAGTTAAAAAAAAAAGGCACTTTAGAGAATGCACCAGAACATTTTAACTAGAGGGAAGCATGATGGAGGAAAGTGAAATCAAGAAGTGCAAGCAAGGGGCTGTGGTCAATGTTCCATGGGTGCATCTGCATCGTCCTCCTCCTCCTCCTCCTCATCACTACAGGGTTCATAATCGTCATCCAAGAGTGGGTCTCCCTCCTCTGCCTCCATCTCTCCTCCCAGCTCGCCTAGCAGCTGCTCCACATGCTCCAACATCGGCTGGTCATCGCATCGCAGCTTATTGTACAACTGGGGAAGAGGGAGATAAAAAAAGGGACAAAAAAAGGGATGATGCAAGTGTGTAATGGGTTAGTGAGTAGACTGGAAAAATGTAACATTTAAATAGAAAGTAGGTTATACAGCAGAAATGTTGAGACCGAACATGAAGTGCAAAATTATACTGCGGCGGCAATACAAGAAATAAGATATGGTGACTGAAAAGCTCTCGACCGAAGCTCTTCCGTTGTGTCACTGGAGATAACAGTGCATCACTACAGCATCAGTAAACAGCAGCTTGGAGTTGAGGGAAGTGAGCAGCCCTGAGGTTTTAAGTCTCTAAGTATTGGTTAGGCCGTCTACAATATATCCAACAGCAGCTGCATTCTGTCAGCAAGGCAGTCACGGCTCGCAAAACGCTGGTAAACAGTTTTTGTCTTTCATTTGGCAAATCAGCACATTTGATACACCGTTCATCCGCACAGGAGACAAAAAAAGACCATTTATCTTGCTCTTGCCACATGCATGCGCACACACACACACACACACACACGGAAACGTATCCTTAAGCACATATGGTTATGCAGCGAACATGTGCACGTACACACACACAATCAAATTTGTTATCTCGGTGAAATATGGCGTGAAAGAGCAAGATAAAAAAAGTCCTGTTCTCAAAGCAGGCAGCAGATTTATCTCTGTATAATACTCTGCTTGTGTGTAATTACTGAACTCAAAGTGGAGCTGGGTGATAAAACTACTGGTACTACCACTAAGGACAGAAAGCATAACACTGTGTGTGCATATACAGAGCACGGGAAATTGATACAGCGATTAATATTTATGCTGTTCTATCCAGAAACAAAACTAGAGAGAAAAAGAGGGTGAGTGGGGAACGCTTTATAAGATCTAGGAATATTATACTATTTCGTCTCTCAAACACACACACACACACACACACACACACAGCCACTTGAGCTCATGGACAATAAGCAGCTGAGTGCCATCATTCTCACTAAAAGTGTAACGAGGCCAGGAGAGTGAAGAAGAGTGTGTGTGACTGCTTTGCCCCAGGACCAGTCTCTAAGCAACAGCAGGTCCTGACAGGAGACACGCAGTCCCATGGGAACTCATTTGGAGTGTAAGAATGTGTAGTGTGGTGGTGTGTGTGTGTGTGTGTGTGTGTATTTAAGTGGATGCTGTCTCTGTGGTTTGGAGCTCCAGGGAGGTAGAGCGTGACCCAGGTCCAGGCACAGGGTCTGATACCGGGGGAGAGCTGACCCTCTTAGTCTTATTCGAGCACACACACCTACACACACACACACACACACACCCACACAGATTTTCATTCTGCCAATGTCACCGTGAAATGCCTGGAGATGTTTATCCACAACGAATACTCTGAATAAAAGTTGGGATTGCTTTACAATACGCTTGGCTCTATACACAGAATAATTGCACATTACAGCCTTGGGTGTCTTTCATATGAGTTGCATAAGAGAAATAATGTAATAAATACAGTGAACCTGTGAAAAAAAACAAAAAACGTTCTACAATACTGAATGCTATTTGTGAAATAGTTTTTATATGTGGTGATATTTCTTACGAATCAATAGCATAGTGTGTCTGCTGGATGGGATGTGATTATTCATTGTGATGCTTTCAGCTAGCTAAACAAACAGGAGCTATTCTTTACACATTCTGCACCGAACGCTGCTGAGATCAGCACCGCCGCCGCAAAAAACACAGGCATTTCTCATTTGCAACAGCCTATGTTTTCTCTTCTCACTTTCACGGCCCAGAGAGCTGCCTAGAGAGGGAGGGAGAGAGTGTGTGTGTGTGTGTGTGTGTGTGTGTGTGTGCGTGTGTGTGAGTGTATGTAATCGTATAACTTTTTCATGGTCCACTTTGCTATACTTTCAAGCCCAGTGTCACAGCCCAAAGTACACTTGATGACCGGCGTAACAACTTACAAAAACACACAAACACACAACATACTATACATATTAAACACGCAGAACACAGTTGTTTTCACTGTGTACTTGCTATTCTTTTTTGCCATCCTAGCGCCACGGCTCTAGGGATGGTCGGTCCACTACTTTGTCCCAGGCTGATATTCTCTATTGAATTAATTGGTGTGAAACTGTGCACAGGCGTAACAGTTCCACAGCATATGAATACATTGAGGATCCCATTAATTTCCTCTAGTACCATCATGAGTTTAGCGTTTTGTGTTTCGGAGTGAATTATTTTGACAACAATTGGAAGGATTGACGTTCATGGGTCCCAGGAGGATGAATTATAAAAACTTTGGTTATCCCCCGACTCTTCTTCCAGCACCATCATTGGTCAAAAAGTTTAGTTTTTATTGATTAAAAATGTTTATTGTTAGTTTAGTCTTCGTTAGTTTCACTGTTACTCATTATGTGGGTGTATACAGGGGTGTATTTGTCAGGGGAAAAATGTAATGTAAGAAATTCATAAAAAATATTACAATACAACTGACTCACAGTCATGTAGATATTTAGTTAGTTAGTAAGTACAGAATATTGTATTAGTTAATTTTTTAAAGCACAAGCACACAAGAGCTGCTATCGTGGCAGTACACTCTTAGCACAGTTAGTATAATGGATGTAAACAGAGTCGAGTATCATTCACCTTAAAACAATCTCAAGTCAAAATATTGCAGTATTATATGCAGTATTTTGGTAACTTCACGGTTACTAATGGATGCATCCCAAATGTAGAGAAATCCACTAACTAGGTCTGCCAAGCTTGAGTGTGTTTTGCACTGAAAATATCCCCTTATGCTAAGTATCCTCTTCAGCTGTCTTTCACTTATTTGAAAATCATGCCTAGAACCGAGCATGGACTTAATGTGTTTATATTCAAGGCCATAGTCAAAATAAAACTCTATAAACCTCTCTATTGCTCAGGGTTTACAGTTTCCCAAACAACATGGAATGAAATTGCCCGGAACTGCTTTGACCCTTGGGGTTTTTTTTAAGTATTTTTGCCACTTAAAATATATTTTTTTTTAACCCATCAATTTTCTTTTCTATCCAGCTTTTATTTATTTTCCACATATGTATTTTTCTTTTCTCCAGTGTCCAAAATGTCTTGTATTGTTAAATTCAATGCCCTTTGCTCAGCTCGGAACTAGCAAACTTCTAAACAGGGAAACCAATTTAAAACTTCTGAGCTCAGACTTTCCAGACATGTAGTGACACAATGTGGCATAAATCAACATGTCAGCATTCATAGTGAAGAAACTTGTTGGCAAGTTGGAGTTCATGATAATGACAGTAACAACTACAATTCTTGGTCACAGAATTGAAAAGGCCTATGGAATCTAATACAAAACAGAATTATGCTCAATTGAGGTGTGCAAGTGCTTCTGGAGTTGAATGAGGTGTCACCCTGTTTATGGTCATTATTACTGCAGCCCGCAGTACAGACTTAACAGTGAAAAAGTAAAAGAGAAAGAGAAACTTACTTACGTTGTGAAATAGTAAAGAACTATATAAGTACTGATGTAAAAAATCTTAACCTTTAATTAATTTCTTTCACAGAATTTACCCAAGTTCTTTGAATATACCTATTAGTATGGTCGAGCATATATTACCTGTAAGTGCTTATCTTTTGTCCAGTATGCTGTGGACAAAAGTGTAATAATAAGCACTAATGTACCCTTCACACCTAAATTGATTCTTTTTCCCCTCGTTTCTTGGTAGAAACCTTTTTTCTACAACTCATATGGAAGAATAAAGACAGGCTGATTATGTGGTGAAAGCCACATCATTCCATCATTGTTCACCTTCTGTTCCACATCTATGCTTAACTTCCCCTTTCATTTCACCTCTTCTTTCATTTCATTTCCTAATGCCTCCATTCTCCCGGCTTGTCTCCTGACCATTTTACACCTCGTACACTCTGTCTTTGGCTTTCTTTCGCTCGCACTCAAACACTCTCACCAAATGACCTTCCTGTCAAGGAGACAGATACCTCTTCATACCTTCACATCTTATACTCGCGCTTGCATGCACACACACAAACACATACAGACACATCTACCATTTTGGCAGAATAGTGCCAAAATTATGCCCTCCTCTCATCTTCCCTCTGTATCCTCAATCCTGCTCTCCCTGTCCCTTTTTTTAGACCTACAGAGCACTCCTACTCTACATCTCTTCATTAGTAAAAGAGAAAAAATGTCTTAAAATCTTTCGACAAATTTTCTTCCTCCTAACTTCTCGGTCTCACTCTGTCATACAAACATGCACATATTTCACTGGCAAGGGTGTGACACTGGCTGAGATTAGACCTTCTTGAGTGTGCACAGGGTATGTCGCTGTAAGTCGCACACACACACACACACACACACACACACACAACTTAACACTTCAGTCCTCCAGTCACATCCTCGGTAGGGAAAGGCATTAAAATTACATGACAAGCACACCTTGGTCCAACCCTACCCGCAATCCGTGCTCATGGGATACCCTTTCAGCCACATCAAATAGTAAAGCTTTTGACCTCTGTTTGCCCTAGCTGCCTTTGTGCACACTCACACACACATACACACACATATAACATTGTCCTCTGTGCATACACTGCAGATCCTTCCTCAATCGCACCCTATCTGGCTGAGACTCAAATTCCATTTCACGTCCGGTTTACTATTGATTTTACCCTCGCCACTATTCACCAGCTACACCCCCTGCACCCACACAACCACACACACACAAACACACACATCCAATCTGTTCCCTTCCTCGCCTCCCCTTTCATTCTCCCACTCCTGCGCACCCTCCTGCTCCTCTCCTACACTTCTTTCTCGTCCTCTCAACCCATCCATTCTTCCCTATCGTTCCTTTTCTAGGGGCACATCAGCCGAACACAGTGTGTGTGTGTGTGTCTCTGAGCGTGCATGTGTATCGATCACAGAAGAGATGAATAATGAAGATGTTTCTTAACAAATAATTAGATATGCAAGTTGGCACACACAACTATAATTAAATATGTGCATCCACATAAGGTGCACCTACGCATACCCACATGCTTTCTCTCACTGTCACACACAGACACACACACACACAGCAAAGTCATAAAGTATGCAGAGAAGTGGACTGGCGCCAAAACAAGCCGTTGGGCTTTGAGGCCTCATTTCCATGTTGGAGCCCATTTTAACTAGCAGACTGACTCATCGTTAATAATTAACTCTCACAGTGACTCTCAGAAACAAAGCTCTGATATAAACAAGGGAAAATCTCAACCACACAGTGTAGATGCGTGTGTGTGTGTGTGTGAAATGCACACACGTATGAGCAAAAACGTCGAGCTGAGGAATTAAGTGCACCATGAGGGGGGCTGTTTTCTATCCACATTGCACCTCACCTTTTCAAGGTCTTCATTTACCTTTCACATTATTCTGCGCCTGTTGCTTCACTCACTCTACAAAGAAACAGCTACGCTGTTTACTTGTCACGCTCTGATGCCTCACCCAATTCTTTTACCAGTCTTTCACCTTTTTATTCCTTTGCATTCTTTCTCTCTGTACAAAAATAGCTAAGTACTTAATTCTCCCCATTTCTCAGGTCTATTTTTTTTCAATTTGTTTTTTTTTTTCGTTTAAGTCGCCACAAAGCTGGCCGCTCAAAATCTATATGCACCCTGTGCCTTTATTTTCCTCCACATAGTTTGTTCCATTCTCTCTCTGGGCAGCTCAAAGCCCAACCCGCTCCTGTCTCAGTTGTGGACATTCCCAGTGGATGCTGGTTAGACAGGCCTGTCACTACACTGCTGGCCAGAGAGACATACATCAATATATCCCCACTCTGCTGCCCCTACTTATCTGTAGAGGGACACGACAGGGCGGGAAAGGAGGAGGGAGGATGGGTAAGAGGTAAAAAGGAGAGGAAAGTAAAGAGAAGAAAAAAAAAATCATAGGTGGGGCCTGCCATCCCTCAGTCTGTGCTGTCTGATTTACAAGCCTATTGGATTTTAGACTAACATGAATCACGGCTCCATAGAGGCATTGCTCCCTGACAGAATGACAGAATGAATGAGACACATCACTCCGTGTGTGTGTGTCTGTGTCTGTGTGTGTGTGTGTCTGTGTGTGTCAGGGGGAACAGGAGAGAGAGAAGGGTATATTTAAACCTCTTTGAGATTGTACAAAAAGACATTTCTGTGGCAACAATGGAGCTTAGTTAGGATCCTCTGATGTTCACAGTACTGCATGTACTCCTTCTCTGACAAGAACTGGTTCTTGGGAGTCTTACCTATTGTGACAGTGCACCCACAGTTGCTGTGCACAGTGGTGGAAGAAGTATTCAGATCCTCTACTCTAAAATACCAATACCACATTATTACAATATTCTGTAATAAATAAAAGTCCTGGGCTTTCGAATTGTCTTTCTTGCGTAGGAAGGTTCCTCATTGAGTGCAATGACCCAGAAGTATTTAAAATTGCTCTCTTCTCTCTAAATACTAAGGAAAGGTGCTTCAATTGTTCCTTTCTTATCTCCTTTGGCATAAGATGCAATCCATGACCAAAGGAAATGAGATAATGCCATCTTCAAATGTGTTGTTTTGTCCAAACCTCAAAATGATTCAGTTTTCTGTAATTTAAAACTATTAGGCTGTCAGATAAATGTATTAAACTGAAAAGTACAATATTTCCTAGCCTTGTTGTATTTGAAGTGGCTTGCAATGTAAATAGTAAAGTATGTCTAATTTCTACTTCTAAGTACGTTACTTGAGTAACCACTTGCCATGCGCTGTTCAAGAACTAGCCTACCGTATTCATTTAAGAGAGGAACCACAATACTGTGTCTGTGTCATTAAAAAGCAGTAATCTTTTGCTTTGTGGGCAGATTTTATGTCGGTTATCTTGACTTGGATTACCTTCTTAGCATTGGTCAGGTACGATCGGCCCGCCTCCTTCAATGCATTCCACTCCTCCTTCTCCTCATCAGTCACTTCTCTTCTCTCTCCCTCTTGCTGCTCCTTTGCTTTTTCCAACTGGAGGTAGCACACCCATCCAGAGAGATACCACACCTGGGAGGCACGGAGAAAGGGAGGCAGGTTGGGGAGGCGTGAGGCACAGAGATTCAGACAGAGAGAAAATGTTCTTTGCTGCAGTAAGTGAGCTGTGACAAGGGAAACAGATTTGTAACCCTCACGGAGCAAGTCTGCATGAAATCCCACACGTTTCACACATATAACATGTACTCACGTAGACACACATACACTCACACACACGCATACATGCACAATCCATCACTCACATAATAATGGTCAACCTGATCCAATCCTGGCATTCAGTATACTCATTTACAAATATTGCATGAATGTAAATGCACATGTGCACATACTGTAACTTCACAATGAATTCAAACCGGTGACTTGACCATCTTTTTTTTTTCTTCATCTTTCTATACCAAAAGAATTCAATTACTTTATTGAAACATGCACTAAAACATAGTACAATAAAATGCAAAATAAATTCCCTCAGGCAAATATCTTCTTTGCATTTAAAATAATATCATTTTATTAGCAATATTAGCAGGTTGCGCTGTGGACAATATTAGCCTTGCTATTAAATTAGAGACTGAAAATTTATTATTGTTACATGTTATTTTATGCTACACATAATTTCAATCGTAAAATATTTCATATGAGTGTCTTTCTGCCTCGATAGGAATTGTGGAAGTACCTGACCAGGTATTTATGCAAAAACACCTCAAGAATCAACCCTGTGGAATTATTATTCCTTTGGCCATGTTTTAATCACATTATGGATACAAAAATGTAATTTAAAAAACAATGTTTTAACAGAAAATGCTGCAAATGTGTCAGACAAAGGTGAAAGGTGTGTGCTACTGAAGACAGGCACATGTTTAGTGACTGACGCAATCGCTTGATGCTAAGATGTGAATGTCCGTAGTGCTTCCAGGCAAATTACCTTTGACAAAACAAAACATCATCTATAAATAACAGGTAGTTTATATGACCAGTAATGCAATAAAATGGGAACCGTCTGTCCATTACACTGCTAAACACTATTGGAAGATGACAGAGACAATATTAATATGAAATACGTGCACTTGTTGTTGTTAAAGACAATACTGTATTAGAGACAATACTGTGCCTCAATGACACATAAGATTCACACAAATACATACTAGTATACTGTTAATAAAAGTCAATTCTTCTGCTTCCTCATGTATTTGTTGTATTTCCCACTTTAACAGTAATATGCTGAAATTGTCATGTGTCCTTTTAAATAACCCCATTTTTTCTTTTGCTTATTTTTTAAACGTTGTAGTGTGGTAACATCTCATTTTCTTTCTATGCGTGTTACTTTTTGCAGCTACAATGACTACTTATTAAAAAAAACATCCACTCACTACAGTCAATGCAATTATCTGAAGAACTATCTTCAAGCATCATGTAGGTGTAATTGCCGCATTTTCATAAAGACACCAATAGTATAATTTTATTTTAAATACAAAGCTTTAGATCCATCAATGTAGCAAATGACTGGCCATTATCTCAAAACCATGCCTCATTTATACAACATGCCAACAGCTGGATGGGAATGGGGCAACAGTGAATTGCCAGATCAATCACAGGGATTACAATATAATGTCATAATCTTCTCCAGTAGGTTAGCAGTTATTAATTATAACATAGTAATGTATTTGCCAAAACTATTAAATGTCATGCGTAACACAAAGCTGTTACCCAAGCTCGATGTATTTGCAAATATTAGGTAATAATTTAGCCCCCTTAACCCTTTGCAAGATTCTGACACCAGATGTATGAGCATTGCTCAATTTAAGAGAGCACCATGTAAAGTTATGTGTTAAGGGCCTCTTAACCGGCTGACTGAACTTGGCATCTGATGAATTTATGTTAAATAAAACCCAGAGAACATTATTTTGGAATAATCCCATTGCTCCAGAGTTCAAAGAGTGAGTGGAGGCATATTTTTAACTGTAAGTCAGTATGCTGAAACACATCAAAACTAGCTTGCTCTCCTCTTTTCCATAATCACACTTTTTTTTCTCCTACATAATCACATACAGTGTGCTATGCTTGCTTTTTCACCCCTAAACACAATCACGTTCAACTCTCAGTGAACTTGGAGGTGTGTGTGCGCCTCTCATCTAAGGCCAAAGATCACCCACCCACTGTTATTCAAGCATCAAGATACAAATATTAGCTTTATTCATTATTCATTGAGGGCAGAGGCAGTAGGGACCTGCACCTCTGCCAAACCAACCATTTAGCTAACAAACACATCAAGGCATGCCACACTGAATTCAGAATTGCCGCTCAGCATGCTGAGTGGGAGGCTACCCCCTGCAGCCATACTTATCAGAACAACAGCAGCAGTGGATAAATGTAGTGATGTTGCAGAACCAGAAGTATGACATTTTTTTTCACTGAAACATTTTCTGTGAATGTAGAACCTAAAAAAAAAATGTATCCTTCTGTATATGTATATTCAAAAGAGAAAGAGGGAAATTAGGTCACTTAAATTCTTAACTTCTTCACAAATGAGAACGACGTGTCTTCAAGAACAACTACAACAAGGCTAGAAAATTCTTTGCTGTGCATCTGCACTCCAAATTCATTAAAACATGAGGAAGTTAGCTAATTAAGAACTTCAGAAAATCCATTCTACCCTTCCACAACCCCAGACAGAAGCACACATAATAAAATAAACGCTGCGTCTGTCAATCAAATCACTGGGACTATTGTCATTTCAAAGTGAAGGCACATCTTAGTTCCCATATGGTGCTGCTGAAGGAAGAACAAAAGCATCATGAATGAACAGAATACCTTTGAAACCAGATTTGCAAGGAACTAGCTCACTTGTTTGTGCAGACTTAACATTTTATAAGTAAGGTTCCAACTTTGAGATACGCAAAAGCAAGGAGACGTAGGCGAGTGCTAACAACTTATCTACTGCTCTTAAGAGAGGAAATAAGAAAGAGAGTAAGACAAAGAGGGGAAGAGAGAGGGAGAGAGAGAGAGCGTAATGTAGTCAAATGTGCCTGTCATACTCTTCTGACATCACTAATATGACTGTAGCAACATAAATGTGATATGATCTGACAAAACACTTTCTGACCATTACAACTGGTGACTGTATGCATGTGTGATTGGCTGTAGGGCCGCTCAAATCAAGTGACACAGCTGTACGTCTCTGGAGTGAGTTTAAAAGTTCAGACCCCTGATGACTGCTCTCAATCTGTCAGCTGAGGGGTGTGTGTGGGAGGCTGAGCCTGAGGAAGAGAGGGAGGAAGAGAGAGAGGAAGAGAGAGAGGAAGAGAGAGAGACTGCTGTGCTCTTCTATCTGACACTCAGTGGCACACCTTCACTTCTTCTGCCACTAGCAGTGGGGGTATGGAGCACACTGACAGCACAAAGTTCCAAATAAAGAACAGATAATACTGCCATTTACACCACTCTCTAATAAGCATTTAAGTTCTCAGTCATACTCCGTGTGAGCGCCCAAGTGTTGAGACCAAGCAATGCAAAAGTGTGGGTGTGTATACACATCTTTGTCCGTGCACATAAACACTGGCTTAGCAGATCAGCGAAAAGCGCTCAGGTTGAGGCTTTCTTCTTCCCACTGGGGTGATGAAATATTTGCCTACAAGTTGGTCTAATCCAGCAGGGGCTACTGAATCACAATAATAAGACTGCCTGCAAGAGGATGCATAAAAATCAAGTAACACACATATACACATACACACACCCCCCCCAGAACTCAGAGTTTGTTCAAGGATCGTCAATTAGTCCAGAGAGACAGGCCTGATAACGGGATTAAATTGCAATTTTAGTTTGGCTTCGTTCATTAAGCCTTACATTGTGTTCATATTAACCGATTTCTTGTTAGGTGGAATATTTTGTTTTTTTTTCTCCAGTCAATCAGTGAGGGCAGATTTAACAGTTTTTGGTTTTTTTTGTATTTTCAGAGGCATTTTAACAACCGGAAATGAAAAAATACAAAAACAAACATGAGTGAAAGCTGACCACCACATTTTCTACAAGACAAAAACCGATGGGCCATCACTTCAATGCTTACCTGTACAACTTCATCATCCTCCTCCAGAAGACCCTCCAACACATCAACTGCCATCTAATGCAGAGAGAGAGACAGAAAAAGAGGGTTACGAGGCTGAAGTGAGATTTGAAATCAGTCATATCAGAAATTTACTTTTTAGGTTTAACAAATTCATCCGTACAGACTGTAGTCCCTTTCTCTCATACGTGCCGTTGTTGCTTGCAGTGTTGTGCATCTCCCAGGCAGCTCGATCAATCAGAGTGATCAGAGAGCCTGATAAGCGCCGATGAGGGCAGTGTCCCATACACAACATCGTCGATACCAACAAGACAACAGACATGGCCGTCGATAGACACACTCACCAGTGCTTATCATACCATCAATAGTCACTCCTTTTAATCTATTTACCGACATTTAACAGTCAATATATTCTTAGTGTCCACCCCATTCTATAGGATGCATGATAAACCTAAATATCAGTCCATTCTGAGAGCAGGTTTACTGTCGCAAAGGAGTTTAATGTTAGGTGACCTTTGCCATAGTGCGCCACTGTCTGGGTCAGTTTCTGTGGGAAGTTTCTATTACAGAAAACAGACCTTGACTAAAGTAGGCTGTGTGTTTGTTTTGCTCCACTTCCCTCCTTGCGGATCCTGTGGTTGTGATGTGTGGAGGGAGGGAGGGAGGGAGGGGAGAGAGAGAGAAGAGAGAGGAGAGAGAGAGGAGAGAGAGAGAGAGAGAGAGAAGAGAGAGAGAGAGAGGAGAGAGAGAGAGAGAGAGAGAGAGAGAGAAGAGAGAGAGAGAGAGAGACCCCAGGTGATGATATATTGATTTTTGTCAACTTCAGGTTGGAGGCGACTGTTAGCCAATCACCCATGGTGAAGGGCAAGAATAAAAGACATGCACGTACCTGTGCACGCACGTACACACCACTGCACAGTCACACAACACAAAAGCTACACACAACTGTGAGCACAACAAGCAGCACTTGTTTCTTGTTAAGGCAGTCTTATTAGCTGCAGAGCTTCCTAATTTTTTCCACTCCCAGTCTTTGGAGTTCTCTTCTCTTTTCATTAAGCCTACGTGCTTCCGGTGGCGATAAAGAGGTCAGCTGCCTGGTTAGACTGAGAGAGAGTCAGGTTAATTGAGAGAATCTCGTTAAGAGCGTGCAGATGTGCGTGGCAGGGAGTCAGTTGATTGATTGCAAGACCAATTATCAGCTGAAAACCCATTGTCCTTAATTAATTAATGACTGATTAAAAATACACAAACAAAAACACCTAATCCCAGCTGATGATGAATGGATTCATGCCCAGCGTCAGAATTATCTACTTGACTTTCATTGTATCACACCAATGTGACAGACACACACACACACGCACGACGCACGGCACACACGCGCACACACACGCATGCACACAGTAATTCGAGCCAAGCACTAGATATGAGAGATAGGAGCAAAGATCTGTCTGGGTATTAAACAACTGATAGAACAGGCAGTTTTAGAGCAACAAAAATAGAACAAGAAATATCTGGGAGCCAGGATAAGTGCGCAATGAACCATTATATCGTCTCCAACTGTACTCCTTCCTAACTACACTGGTCAACCCAGGGGCGAGTGATTAAAGATTCAGAGATCCTTAAGCTGCTTCACGCTCTAAACAACAACAAGATTAATATTCCCGTGAAGATAAGGGGAAGAGAGGGGGTACTACGAAGGAAAAAGTGAGAAAATTGGAGGAAGGGTAAAAAAAAAAAAAGGTATCTTAATAAACAATGCAAAACTGGTCCATGAACAACGGTGCACTGCAAAGACACACACATAAAAGACACTATGTACATGCTGTCCTCTTTATTTCAAGCTGTTAAAAAAGAAAAAAAAAAGCACTCTGGGGAGGAACTCATTTATAATGGCCATTGTGTGCGTGTGCAGTTTGTGTGTGTGTGTGTAATCTTCAGGCAATTTTGTTTAACAGAATCATTTTACCAGAGCGCACAGCAGAGACAGGAGAAAGACAAATCACTTTACAAGAGAGGGCAAGCCGTATCTCTAACACACAGAAACCCATACAAACACACACGCACAAACAGGGACATCAACACTTAAGTAAATAAATCCTGGGTATGTCAGTGCTAACTGTACTTGCAAGCAACATTTGAAAGAACAAGCTGCGCCCCGTTGTGAGCTAAATTTAAGGACAGAAATGCTCAATGAATAACATGAAAGCAAACAAGAGTGACAATGACAAGTAACTAACCATCAGCTGCTGTGACAACTACGCCAAAAAGACACCTTAATGGCTGTCAGGGGAGGGCGTCTGTCTGTCTGTCTGTCTGATATGTGGCAAGTGAATTAGTGGTGGTGATGGGTGATGATGGGTGATGATGGTAATATGTGTGTCTGCGTGTGACAGTGAGAAAACTCTGAGGGCTGCATTGTTACTACAACGCACATTGTTTTTTTTTATTAAAACGTGAAGTAACATGTCAGTATAAACAAGTAAAAGTATAATTTTGGGGCTCCAAATAATTACTTAATTCATTATCAAATATTGTCTTTATCATCTTAATTATGTGATTAATTTAGTTTAGAACCCAGATTGATTGCTTAGTCCGACTAACAATCCAGAGATATTCTATTTACAATTATATAAAAGCAGGGAAAAGCTGCAAATCCTCACACTGAAGAAGATTAACCCAGAGAACAGTTGGTGTTTTTGGTTGATTAATTACTTAAACGATTAACAGATTATTAAAATTGTTGGTGACTGGCTAATCACTAGTTTGAAAAGTGAAAAATGCTCATCACAGTTTGCTCCCAGTAGGACCTTCAAATTGCAACCATGAGTCCAAAATCCCAAATATTCCATTTACAATGATAATAATAATAATAATAATAATAATAATAATAATAATGATAATGATAATAAATAACTCAAAACAATTGATCAATTATGAAAACTGTTATCAATTAATCTTCTATCCATCAACCAATCTATTAATTAACTAGTAGTTTGAGCACTATAGAAACTGTCTCAGAAATACTTAAAACAAAATATCAAGCTCTTGGACAGTAATACCTTCCAGTTGTCTCACTTATGCTGCTTTCAAGCATCTCTGTACTTCAAGTTCCATTACAGCTAAAGAAACACATTTGGCATGCATTCAAGTGTCTCTCCTCAAAAACAATAAAAAAAGACACAAAAAAAAGACCTTGAAAAACAATTTTGGGTGACTTTTTTCCCGTCTAAATTAAGTGGCAGAGATCCACGTTTTGCTGAAACAGAAGACTGAGGGGAAGAGCAGCAGTAATTAAACTAATTTTTTCAAGAATTAAGTAGCCCACAAAGAGCATGAGACGCTTACATAGCACAACACTTTTATCATCAGTTGATGTCATGGTATCATAAAATATCCACTCTCAGTCATTCTTACTTTCATGTGTACTCGACTTAAAAATTGAAAGTAGAGCAATCTTTTAAAAAGATTTTCACCAAAACTGTTTTGAAAGCCATGGCACACCTTTATACTCTGGGTCTATCATTACAAATGCAGAGGCTGCCCACTGGCACTGGATTGGTGACCACCTCCATTAATGTCATAAGATATTAATTAGCTTTAATGAAATACACCCTAAGAAATCTTCAAGGAAAAGGGGCAGAGGTGCTATTTCAGACAGCAAAGGTCATACGTGTAATGTGTGATGTTCTTGTTTAGGCTGTCACCTAGTGAAGTGATCACAAATGATGAGATGCTGTCTGTACCAATCATTCTTTGGGGGGGAAAACATTTAATCACCACCATGCACTTCAGTGATATTTTCCCTCAATAACAACAAAATAATATCATACACTCAGATAATGTGGCCAAAGTAATCAGTTTGACATGTTTATTTTTGGCAAATACCTAATTTACCCCAATTCAAACTAAAACCACATAATAGATTGAATGTACAATCAATGCCAAACTTCATTCATCTGAATAAGAGATAAATCTCCAACAGAGACAGACAAGTGGTACTTTTTGGGGAAAGAACACTGTAGTTCTTCTACCTCTCACTTAGAACTATTGTATGCCAGAAATAGCTGACTATCTATGCAGCTAAAGAAAACACAAAATTTGCTTTAACAGGTTTCTTTGACAAATATATTAATCAAATTTTTAAAGCCTTGACTCAGTTTGAACCAAACAAAATATTTAATAGGGGGACGAAATACAGACAAATCTCCGCATCCTGGCACCCTGCTAAGAAGGTAGCCTTCAAACTGAAAAACTATATAGACTGGAAGCACACAACTTTACACAGAGTTTAGAGTTGTGAATAGATTTATAGTCCACAGGGACAGATAGTAAGCACAAAAGTGTGTGTGTGTGTGTCTGAGTGAGAGAGAGAGACAGGAATATAGGAAGGAAAGAGAAGTGAGGATGTTCCTATCAAATCCGTCCCAGTCTGGGGGAGACGGACAGAAAATAGCTTGCTTCTACTCTGCTTCTACCCTTAAGCACAATTTCCATCAGAAACGTCCACAAAGCTGATAGCTAAAAGCAAATATAACCAAACTAGTGTGTGGACGTGTATATGCATACATGGCAAAATATTCAGGTTATAAAGCACTCAGAATGTGTGCAGTTTGTGTTTCGGGCCTGATGACATCAACAGGAGGATGAAGACAAACGACATGTCAGAAACTGCGGACCGAGACGTTGTCATTTTACTGATACACCTGACAGCCCATCTCCCACACACAAACACACACACACACACACACACACAAAGATATAACTGCAGCTGAGGTGTTTGGGAGTGGTAGTGGGGGGTGTGTGTGGGGGAGGACACTGTTCTCATTTCCTGTCAGTGATAACCATAAACCACTCAACAAGAGTGACTACAAATTAATCGCTAGATCACAACAGAAAATAGCTGAACTGCTGTTGGTGTGGCAGTAATCACAGAAAATGATTTCAAGCGTTAATGACTGTTAGGGGTTTTAGCACTGAACTGAAGGCGGTGAGCCACTAAAATCAATCCATTAATACTGAAAATTGATGATTGGTGATTTAGAAGTGCGCTGTATCACAGATATGGCAGCAATTCATCAGAGTAGAGCTTGCTTCATTTTTTTTCCTACCTTCTTCTCATCCCTCCTCCTCCGTGCGCCCTTTTACCCCTGTCCCTCTCAGTAAATACCACTCTTCAATTATTGACACTGAACTCTGGAGGGGATAAAGACCAGCCATGGCCTTCCCACCTTCAGTGCTATTCACTAGAAAGGAAAGCACACAAACGCATGCACACACACACACACACATAAATGCCAGGCCACCCTCCCACCATGAAACATACTTGACCAACAACAACAGCAGCAACATTTTACCTCGTATTCCTCTGCCTCGATGAGCAGTTTGGCTGTGGTGATGCGAGACTCGTACGGAGGGATCTCATTCTGGAGGAAAAGGACAACACCTCTACAGTGAATGTTTACACAAGCATCCGCACACACACAGTTCTTCCTTTGTCTGATAATAACACGATCCAATTTCAAGGTACAAAACATTCTGCAACTATGTGATTGTTAATCACAGCGAAAGTGTCGGCAGGATGCGTTCAGATCAACCTGCTCGTGAAGATAAGAGTCATAACAGTGGTGGCACTGGGATTTTTGTCTCAAATCATCATCCCAGCCCCTCTTATGTCACAATTGCTCCGCATTTGAATGTAAACTCAGGTGCCGTTTATGTGGTGTCATTCAGAACCTACCCTAACTTTGACATTACAGTCATTCCTTTCTCTTTGTCAGAATCCCTGTAGTAATTGGCTTTCTTATCCCTGACACACTCCCTGGTGTTGGCTTGTGCTTTCATATCCGCTTTCTCTTCACACACACACACACACACACACACAGGCGTACAGGTTTGTGAAGTATTTGTTCCATCTTTTTTTTTATTATCCCTTGTTTCATTATCTCTTACTTTTTATCTCTACTGGTGTCCTTATGTTTGTGCTCGCTGCAAAGCACACTGTGACAATCCCGTTAGTTGAAAGTGCTTTATAAATAAACTGGGATCTGAGGAGGGCTGGTTGCTGTCAGAGAAATACCATGCACAGCTCCAACTCACCTGCATGTCTTCCTCTGCGCTGGAAGAAGCTGCACTCTGTTTCTGGGAAGGTAGCCACAATTCAACACTCTTCAACAGGTATTCTCTGCCTTCCTGAAGACAGCAAAACGCATATATGTGTAAATTCACACGTACATATATGACCTGCACATATACACACAGATGAAGGCAAGCATGATGGTTTTAAATTTTTTTTGGTTTTAAATTTTACAGGATTGTGAACGCTCCATAGATATCAATAAACCTTTGGATTAATTTTAGCACATTTTTATAATTTATTTTTCAAAATTATAAACAGAGTATTTCCAAATAAGCTGGATGTGGGAGGCTATGAAGTGTGACTGGAGCCAGTCTGACCCCTACAGCTTATAACTGGCATTACAGATCCACTTTAGCTCTACAGAAAGTCATTTTTCCTCACTTTTGTGATGTAAGAAGAATCTAAGAAAAAAAAACCTGCTGACACTTTTCCAATACAAAGGAGGTGAATTTAATTTCATCCGTGATGTTCATGGCATTGACAAACTGTATGAAAGACTCAAAAGAGAAGAGTGCCTTTCCACAAATGATGCACAGGTCACTCAGGACAATCCACAGAGGACATTGAACAATTTTCACTATATTTTTACCCTCTGTATAAAACTGCTCACACAAAAAAACAGGAAGAAGGATATTGTGTCTTATAAAATATGAAATGCCAGACTTGACAGCAGTGATTGTACTGTACAATACTGCAACATTCATATGACACTTTATTCTGAAACATACAAGAACTGTAAATAGATCGAGATTGTGTTTTATTCAACTCAAAAGATCCATTAGTGACCTGAAAAGGTACCTTTGGTATGTTTTTACCACTTTTTAAAGTCTTTCAAAAACAAAATAGAACACATTCTGAAGCATGCTCCATTAATGTCTCTCACAGAAAGGTTTTGCCTTGAATGTCGTTTGCCTTTAATAACGACTGGTAGAGCAGCAACACTTTAAATATCTCCTGAATATGCAATATTTTTAAAAATGAGTAACAAAAGAGAACATTTCATTGAGACATTTTTGCAAACTCATTGTCAGATGCTTCATATAGAGAAGTTCTTGGCTTTGGATTCTTTTCCAAATTGAGTCCAATAGGCTGCTCATCTCTCTCTCTTTATCAGATGACTATATGACCTCAATGATCTGCCCAGTAATTAACATTCCTATCGGCATGACCTGTCTGTGTGTGTGTGTGTTAATGTACGTGTCCATCTGCTGATTAATGGCATACAATTCAATTTGCTCAGAATAATTAACTCAGCAGATTCCTGCTTTAATGTGGTGATAACTCATCCTTAGTGTGTGTGTGTGTGTGTGTGTGTGTGTGTGGACTGACCTGGTTTCTCTCTGTGCTGAACAGGTAACTGGCCATGAGCTGCAGAGCCTCAGGGTTGTCATAGTGATAGTGTAACGCTTTTTCAATGAACTCTCTGCACTTGTCTGCAGCTCCCTCCTCCATGCTACATGCACACACACACACTCATAACACACACACACACACA